TCTCTTAATGTTGGCGGGGTTTGATACACCAACCCTTTGGTTAGCAGCCAGGTGATTAGCTGCTATGCTACCAGGCCTCGTGTGACAGTGGATATAGTTGCATTTTCTGAAGCGTGCTGGGGGAAAAAAAAAGCCACACAAATGATTGAGGGAGGCAAAACGAACTAATCCCCCTATTCAAGTTCCAAGTTTTAAAAATCACAGTCCTGTTAACAATCACTCAGAACTGAATCACATAATCCTTCCAGCATTTCCCCCTCACCGTCTCTTCCCCAGACCCAGCAGGACAAAGTCATTGGTGGGAGTTGTAACGAATATGGCTAGACAAGCCTTATCAAGCGAATCACTGCTCCACGGAGATCCAGGACTGAAGGCATAAACTAAGAGAAGAGGAAGTCCTGATCTAGAACCAATGGGATCCCAACACAGCACAGACGCTAACAGACCCCCCAGAATGCTGGTGAAGAGAGACCAGGGACTGGGCAGCCGGTACTGGAGCAGGCCTGGGGGCCCAAGGAGAGAGTTGAAGAGAGAAAACTGATGGGCTACAAGGAGTAAATTCCTTGATGCAGATTTATAAAGGGGAGAGTCTAGAAAGCTACATGCACATTTCGTGTTAAACGAGTGATGTGTGCATATAAAAGGGCATGTGAAATGAGTTTTCATGAAAGGAAAAGTAAATGTATTGCAGAGATCATAATTACGTAAGTTCTGGTATTGAGCTAAGAGCCCTGGGGGTTAGTTAAGTACTCAGCCACTGACCAAAAGGTTCATGATTCAAATCCACAGGAGGAAGAGCTGGTGACCAGCTCCTGGAAAAATGACAGCCTGAAAGCCCTATGGGGTGGGGGTGGTTCTGGTCTAGCCCATGTTATCTCTCTCAGTGGGCCCTAGTAAGAACAGCCATATTATTATAAACTAGATGCCCTTGGGTTTGCGATCCCAAGCTATCGAACTGTTGCTGTGGCAGGGCAGGGAAGTAAAAGCCTGTTTATACGGTAGGTCTCAAAATCATTGGCAGCGGTTGCCTTTAGGGATGGGCTGTGGGCTCGGGGAGGGATAGGGGCTTGCTCTTTTCATAAGGACCTTGTAGTGCTAGGTGGTACTTTTTGTGTAACCATGACTGATGCACATTAACAGGATTCTAAGTAAGTAGAGGGTAGAGACAGTCCAGACATCTCTTTAAAAGTTTGCTGCACGGAGGGTGTGAGATATGAAAATAATACTCATTTATAATTTATCAGGGGTTCATGAGGGCAGGAGGGTGTGAGGGAGGGAGGGAGGGGAAAAAGGAGCTGATACCAAGGTCTCAAGCTGAAAGAATGTTTTGAAAAGGATGATGGCAACATATGTACAAATGTGCTTGATACAATGGATGTATTGTTGTAAGAGCCCCTCCCACCCCCAATAAAATGATTTATTTTAAGAAGTTTGCTGTAGAGCAAACTGCCCCCTTCTCCAGGAAAAAAAATGTTCTCAGCATGCCCTGGGCAATCAAAACCTTTTATACTACAGTCCATAACCCAGTGTAAAGTGTAAGTATCTTCCCCCGCCAACTGCTATACAGGATTGAGGTCGCACTGTCAAGTCAGGGTTGGATTGCTATCTGACCCTAGCAGTGCAAATTCACCAGCCACGTCCCTCATGAAAGATGTGACTTTCTCACCCTAGGTTAGAATCAACTCCATGGAAGTAGGTCTAGTTTTATGGGTAGAAAATCGATCATGAACAATAGTTGAAGTGTGTGCTTGGAGAATGGTGTACAGTTGTTCTGCAGTTCCCACTTGGAAAGCGTTACAGATTTGAAATCAGATCGTATTACAATGAACCTAAGTGTTTGGGGCATGTGTAGTTGGCACTGAGTGAACGTGGCTGAATCTAACTGGAATGGCTTTTCTGACTTGGCATCTACTTGTCCATGTAGGCACTTCTCGCACGTCTTCTTCGCTCAAGATGTCGGATAAATTCTGTTTCGTTTTAAGTGCTTTGACCCGTGTCTACAGACAAATGGATTCTCCAGAAAATACCTTTAGCCTAAATGAATCTCATTTTCTTACAGCGTGAACTTCTTAACGGTGGACCATAAAGACTAGTTTGAAGATGGAAAACCAAGAACCAAAGGATTCGTCTCCAACTGCCAAAGAGTCGATTATTTCAGAGGAGGTATCTATTGGCTTTCACTTCCCTTTGCCCTTCCCCACATAGTCTGAGTTTAAAGGAAACATATTGGCTATTGTTTCATACTTATAATTTTGAAGGTAATTGTTAAACATTGTCCCTGCTCTCTTTTAGGGCTGGGGCACTTTACACCGGTATAAGAGCAGTCGTACAACCCACTAGCTTCAGTGTACTAGTTAAAGTGAGACCATTTCAGAGTGGGTTTTGACTATTGATAGAAGAAAAAAAATTCAAAAAACCTTTTAATTCAATTCTTATGAAAAACATCTGAGTAGAAGGATAAATCGTGTGTGCTAGGTAGAGCCTAGACATTTGATAGATAGCACATCCTGGGTGTTTACAGTTCTCACCCGTGGGTTAAAGAACAGTAAGAACTTGAACAGTGGTTGTAGCCTGATTCCTGGGAGTCGGAGAACTAATGCATGTCTAGTATGTCATTCTCTTGAGCTGTTTAAAAGTATCTTCCCCAGGAGTCCTTGTAATGGATACCTTTTAATTCCTTCACCTTAGAACTCTGCTGCTCTTGAGACCCTTGGGCTTTCCTTTTGATTTCAAATCTTCTCATGTTCACCATGAGAACAGATCCGCTGGTGTTTATTAGGCTGCTACTGGCAAGAAGTGAAAGAGGGTAGTAAGAAAAAGGCTGCTGTAGGTATGTACACAGTGGAACTTTCCTCTCGGAGCAGTGTAGTGCTGTAGGCAAGGTCGCCCTTGTAACCCGGACTCCTCAGAGTTGAAGGAGAGTAATTCCGGGATGCTTACCGCAGGTCGGGTGGGGCATCCACTTGTCACCATTGGACATGAAGTTCCCACGGCCAGTCAGCTTGCCTGGGTAGGTTTTGGCATGAAAAGCCATCCATGAGTGATGACAAGGGAAGGACACCAATGTGACTAGCACCCAGATGAGCTGGCAGAACGGTGGGAGCATCCCATTAGACACCCCTTCTTTGCCCCTTTGGCCTCTTCCCAATTGTAGCTCCCCTCCTGTCCCTGCAGGAGTTTTTAGACCAGTCTGACCCCAAAACGAAGCAACACACCCCCCTTGAACTGAGCCTTGACTGCTTTGAACTGAACCCTGCACCACAAATGGAGGGAGCAAGATTACTGGAGGGCCACAGAGAGAACACGTGAAAGAACGACCAGAAAGCTTTTTGATTGTTATACAACCAATTTGTTTTGAGTTTCCCAACTTACTGTCTGATCTTTTTTTAGTTAATTTCAGAAGGAAAATGGGTCAAGCTTGAAAAAACAACCTACATGGATCCTACTGGTAAAACTAGGTAAAATGGTTTTTACCTCTTAAAAAGTGCTCAGCATGTGGGTTATTAGGGTCTCTTTAGTGATGGCATAAATGTATATCTCCCCAAGGATGTAGGGGCCACGCCTAACTGAAGCCGTTTCTGAGGAGGTGGTCAAGTAGTTAACACTGCAGGAGCTTCTGGCTTCTTCTTTCTCCTTCTTTTCCATCTGTAAATTAGAACAATTGAAGAGGAGAAACATCGTTGTGTGTCTGTAAAACATACCTGTTTACGCTCTGTTCATGGAAATGTCGCTCGGATATACCCATTTGTAAAGTCTTTCACAATTTAGTGTATCCTCTGATACTAAATTGTGATGTCCTCAGGAAATGACCTACTATTTGGAATAATACTCATGATTGAAAAATGTTCATTAAAATTTTTAATGGAAAAAAAGCAACCTAAACAACATAAAAATAGAGATTTTTTTTCTGTTATAATATGTTCATTAGTTAAAATCTATGCAACTGGGGAGAGGGAGCATTAGAACTGATTGTGATAATGTATATACAACTCTTTTTAATAGCGATTTAACCATGGAAGTGTATAATATGTGAATACTATATCAAGATAACTACTGTAAAACAAAGAAACCAGACTTGACCAATGGTTATCGTGGATGAAGGAGGAAGAGTGGATGCTTAGGGGGCATTGAGGTTATGTCAATGATGGTGGAATAATTTGGAAAAGGATATCAATAATGGTTGTACAACACAAAGAGTATATAATCAATGGCACTGAATTATACATGTAGAAGTTGTTGAATTGGAGAATGTTTTGTTGTGTACATTAGAAGAGATTTTTAGAATTAGAAATTTAGAAGAAATTTCTTTTAGAAGAAATTAACAATTAGAAGAAAAATTACATGAATAATATTGAGTACAAGGAAGAAAAAATATTCTAGAACTGATGATGGTGTTAATTGTATTACTCTACTTGATACAAGGAGTTATTGAATTATATGATGTGTGAATGCTACTAAAACTGTTAAAACATAAATAAAATTTATGCAGGCATCCGAAAAGCCGGCTATGAGGATAACCTAGCAATATAGAGAAAGCTAATAATAGATAAGAAAAGACTAGGAGAGAAACTATTGCAAAATATTAGTGGTGAGTGTACAGTTAAATACATTATTTACTGAAATGTAAAGTTTTAAAACCATTAGAAAATAGGGTTGTATGAGAGATAAATAAATTCCTAAGTTAATACAGTTAGTATCAAAATTTCACTTTCTAATTAAATGAAAGTTACAAGTTTTGTGTGTGGCAATAAGGGGTCATCACTGCAAACATGCGTGTCCTAGCCAGCAATTTCAACCACTTCGCAGTTCAAATCCCTCATCCACTACATTGAGAGGGGTGAAGTTGGTTGCTCCTATGAAGATGTACATCTCAGAAACCCTATATCAAGTCACCCTGAGTTGAAATTGCCTCAATAGTAATGGGCTTGGTTGTTTTTTTAACTTGATGAGACATACTAAACCAACTAAAACATAACTAAGGCCCAGTGTTGCCTAGCTCAGCGCCACCTTTAGCCATTCGAACTGCGTCAAGTCAGTGCTAGCACCTACCCCAGGGCTCCAGCTCAGTGAAAACAAAAGGAACCCCCACCTGATTCGCACTTTCAAGAAAATTTTTTTAATGAATGAACTTAAAAATTAAAACCGCAAAGTAAGCCCTGCACACTATGGCCATCCACAGAGTTAGAGGGAGAAAACGATCTCAAATGTCAAGTGGACGGACTTTAAACATAGAACTGAATGTGAGCCCGCAGGGAGCTGGAACCAAATGTAGCAGACTGTGGCAAAGCCCACGCCTTGGAGAACATTGTGTTAGGCTTCTAGGGTGGTTTCCCTCGGTTCTTGCTACACACCGCTGACAGAATTCACACGCAGAAGCACTTTTGTAAATCCAAGGACTTTTATGAGGGAAGGGAGATTAAGGTATTACAGTCTCAGACAATACACACTGTTCTCTGGAAAGGGCACAAGGCCACGTAGGGACCACGTGAGTGTTCATGACTGAAAATGGCCATTTCAGGGGAGCATGAAAAAACACGTGGAAGGAATACCGGAACAGGAGTGCAGAACCGGTATGTGGAGCCAAGAGCAGGAAATCCCAAGAGGGGTGAGCAGGCCCCGAGTGGGCATGAGGGTGCTTGTGTACCTGCATGCAGGAGGAATTCCCACCCTCCCCTTGCAGAGTAAGTCAAACGAGAGAAGAGAGCAGGGCTTGCCCACAGCCTGCTTTTATCTCCTTCTAGCCCTACTGGCTGGGGAGGTGTGGTAGAGGGTATTGGCTGACCTTATTGGCTGTGTTTCAGTGCACCTGTGTGATGTCATGTTGCTGTTGCCTAGTCTGCGCCCAGGTGGACCTCCCACCTATGCCTGGTAACTTGGGTCTGAGCATATCCATCTTTGGATTTTCCCTAAAGTGTCTAATTGGTGTGCCTGATTTCTTTCCAACCCCTTTAGTGTGGCATGGCCAGCTAATTTTCCTTTAGCCTAGGCATTCGGGAGAGACATCCCACTTTATCCCTAATCCGACTACCTTTCACTTTTATTCAACTACACCGAAACAAGAGTGATTGGAGCCCAATTTATAGTGATAGAGTTTGGTTTTCTCCTTTTTATAGAGTTGTTTAGATTTATAACACAAGCCAGACACTTAATAGTATAATTAGCTTATAGAGCAGCGGTTCTCAGCCTGTGGGTCGCGACCCCTTTGGGGGTCAAATGACCCTTTCACAGGGGTTGCCAGATTCATAACAGTAGCAAAATTACAGTTATGAAGTAGCAACGAAAATCATTTTATGGTTGGGGTCACCACACATGAGGAACTGTATTAAAGGGTCACGGCATTAGGAAGGTTGAGAACCACTGTTCTAGAGCCCATGTGGGTTCACACCAGGTCCCCTCTCTCTGACTGTGCTTCCCTTCATCAGGGATGTTCATCAGCATCCTTTGTGGATGTCTTCAAACTACTAATGTCTAACACTCACTCCATGAGGCTCTGTGTCAGGACTTCGTGGGTTGGACTTTAAAGTCTATATCATACCACCACATTTGTGTGCCATGTTTCTTATGTGTTCACCTTCATTCTCCCATGCAGAGGGCTTCTATGTAGCCTCAAGAGGACTTGTGTAAATAATGTCCTGTACCAGAGAATCCGGCTTTGTTGAATGAATCTGTTTTCCAGCAGACTCTGATTTATCAATGAGCACGTGTGTGGGGTAAAATATCAGAGAATCTATAGGGGGCATGGAATTCATTGTAGAACTGTACAAACATGCTGGCATCATGTTCCTCTTAGTGACATTCTCAGTCACCTATCCTATGCCTTGAATTGGTTGAGTAGAAGGGAAAAAACAAAAGAATGTTTCCTATAAGCAAAGGCATTAAAAGGTGGAGTAACTTAACTAGAACCAGGATTCTGAAATTAGAGGAGATTAGCAAGGTAACATATTCTTAATTTCCAAATAATGACGGCTGTGGGTTTTGCTAGTGAGAGCGAGTTTTAGATTCTCTACTTCTAATCAAATGTGTTGCTGAGATACTCGATTTTTTCCTCTTTTTAGAACACAGAAATGTGGTAAGGTCTGAGCCTTGGGGCGAACTAGATCAACAGTGAGAACAAGAGGGTAGCTCAGAGTAGTGCACCTTACAAGCCTTAGCCCAGGGGCAGAGCTCGACTCACCTGCCAGTTCCCAGAGCCATTCAGGTGCCCTCTCCATCAGAAGAGAGCCACAAATGGCTTGCTTCTGCCTCTCCCTTACCCCTGCTCTCAAGAGTGAACGGGAATATGTTCCCCCAGCCCCTGAAACATGATTATTTACCTACTCCGCCCAGTGTCCTGGGATAAACAGTACTGTTACACATGCTACGCAAGAGGAAAATCTAAAGTAGGTCAACCAGCCAGACACAAACACTCACTGTCGTCCAGTCAGTAAATAAGAAACAAAAGACATAGGAGAGTGGGCATCTGTTGTTGGTCACTGTCCTTTGTCCGTTGGGCATCATTGGCCCTCTTAGTAAGCGCTCACACATGCAGAGCACTTGCCTCGATTCCATAATTCTTCACTTATTGCATGGAAAGGGCCTACTCCCTTAAGTTGTGTATTGCAAGTCATACATTTTAAAAGTATAAGTTGGAAAAATAGTTGCTCAATATTCACATCCAGTACTGCTTGTTAAGAGATAGAGCTAGAATGTTCTTGGGGTTTTAATTTGCATAACCTGCCTTAGTAGCCTTTCAAGCTGCACTCATAGCTGTCTGACTGCTCACCTGTAGACCTAGGAACCAAATCCAAGTACTTAACTGATTCGCAGGCTTCAGTTCAAGTACACAGCAGGCTTTCTGTTTAGATGGTGCCTGCGGGCAAGGTATATGATGGCACAGTTTTCTTTGGGAATTTTCAGAAGCTGTAAGAAAGCCCCGCTGGCTTTTTAAACATAGAGCTCTTCATTGTCCTAGTCTTCTGGACCAAGACCAGGTCCAGGTGGCTTTGCATGCTTGCGTTTGGAAAGTTCTAGTTGGACACAGAAAACCCAAAAGCGGTCTCTCCTGTAACTCATGATTGTGTTTTCCTGCCTCTGCCTGCACAGAACGTGGGAAACCGTGAAGCGCACAACGAGGAAAGGACAGGCTGCTGACGGTATGATCACAGACTTATCATAACTCTCCTTAGAAGGGAAGTTAGCAAGCCCTGTCTTGACAGCCCCGGTATAAGTTGCTGCTTGTTTGTATGGCTTCTTAAAAGAGTCTGTAGCAAAGCTTCTGAACAGCGTTATCTTCAGTTGTGGTCTTTATTTTCCACTGTGAGTGTGGTGAGTAAAGCCAGGTCACGTCATCATACTTTATCACTTTCGTGTCCTCTCATCCAAGCTCAGGGCATGTATTTGCAGGGAAGAGAGAGTGCTAGGTATAAAACCCCAAGCCAGTTGCCGCTGTGGCATTCCGAGCGGGCTCATGGCGGCACGTTGTCTCACAGGGTCCTCAGTGCCTGGGGTCTCTCAGAAGCAGCTCACCAGGCCTTCCTTCTGAGGTACCTCTGGGTGGATTCAAACTGCCAACCTTGTGGTTAGTCGCTGAGCACTTAAACATTTGTATCACCTAGGGACACCTACTGATAATTATAACCTAGCATAAGCCACCATAAAAGCCACATGTGGTGCCTAAATAATGTGATGACTTCTAGAAATGCTCACCATCCTGCTCCAAGCTTCGGCGTGAGAGCCTTTAGCGTGGGAAGATTATCCGGCCCAGCTCTGAGTGTATCAAACACTTGCTTGCTTTTACACTGATGAGGAAATGGAATTGGGAAAAAGACCCCTCAGCTCACTTTCCCTTCCGGGCATGAATGCTCTGACTGCAAAGACCCCAGACACATCCTGAAAACCTCCTCTGGTCTAGGGAGCTGGGCAGTGGGCTTCTCCACCCTGTTTCCCCTCCACTCTGTTTGTTTTTGTGTTGGCACAGACGAAGTTGCTCTGCTGCAGCTCTGTTTGTAACCGGTGGACGAGAGGTTAGGTGGCAGCAAGTGTTCCTGCTGGCTGGCTTGGGGTTTCTAGAAGCCAGTGGGGGAATTTGTTCTTGTCTTAATTAAGCCAAAGAACTTGGCGGGAAAGGTCTTTTATCCTAAAAAACAAAAAAACAAAACACTCAGTCGCTTTAAGACTTGACAGGTTGTTGAGCTGCGTATGTGGTTTTGTATTGGGATCCTGTAGACAGACTGTCTAGATCCTTGTCCCTCTGCTGACTGCGTGGGTTTCCTTTTGATTTGGTGCTAAGATCAACAACCCAAACAAGTTTTATTTTTAAAAAGTAAAAGCCATATGGAAGTGGGATTCTTTTTTCTTTCATCACAAATTGCTTTGTAAATTAACCACTCGAATTGTAGATGAAGTTGACTGCTTATTGCTAATGACAGATAGAAGGTAGATTTTGGGTGTCAGGCTTATTAGTGTGTGGCGTGTAGTGGGATTGCTCTAAACAGATGACTGCCACGACTGGTTCTTTAACACGGCTTCCCTTGGTGGTGTTTTCCGGGGACAGGTGTGGCCATTATCCCCGTGCTACAAAGGACTCTTCATTATGAATGTGTCGTTCTGGTGAAACAGTTCCGACCACCCATGGGTGGCTACTGCATAGAATTCCCTGCAGGTGAGTAATTAATGAGGGGCTGCTGGGTGGAAGCAGGGCCCCATAGAGTTCTTTATTGTCCTAGACTTCTGGACCTGGGGCTGCAGTCTGCTGGCATTTAATCACTTTGATTTGTCCGTGTGCTTGTAAGGAAAGCACAGCCACTTCCGCCCAGCGGCCCCTCCAGACCCAACCTCTCCCTAGTGGTCATCTCGCTGCACCAGGGAAGCCTGTGGCAGCAGACATCGGCCCGCAGCTGTCCTCGCAGGCCACACCACTCCTCATGACAGCTCTCTCTGCCCTGTCTTAGTGTGGTCGCTCACTTTCCCGCAATTTGTCGTTACTTTACTTTCTATCACCAACGAATGTTCCCCTGACAAGTTATTTACAGTATTAAGTAGACCGAGGGCTACAAAGAGAAAAAGCATCTTGTCTTCATTTATACTAGAATAGTTCATCTATTGCACAGGAGACAAACCTGTCCAGAATTTAATAAGCTGTTATTGTAGGACTTTATTGGATTGCTCCAAGTTGAAGAAATGAAATCTCACATATTTGTCATCGTGGTTTTATGTTTTGGGCTGTTTGTAAAAGTCCTTCCATGGTAACATATGGAACACATCTGGAACATGGAAACATGTGGAACATGGTAACATATGGAACACATGGTAACCAGTGACTCTCTTTCTCGTTTGCTCACCATCACCTTGAAGGATTTAATTGGCATGAATTAATTTGTAAAAAGAAACAAAATAGCCAATATTTCACTGTTCCTTGATAGTGATTCCTTCCAAGTACAGGAGTCTGGGTTTGCACTCTGCTCCTCTCACGTGCTCTCTGTCGTCGACGTCGTCGTCATGAAGTGCGTCTCGTGGTTCTGGCTCACACTCACCGTGTGCCACAGAAGGAACACTGTCTGGTCCTGCACCGTCCTGGACTGTTACATCGGAGCCTCCTTCGGCCACTTTGTTAGTTCCTCACATTGAGTGTGTCTTCCTTTTTCCCTGCTGACCCTCCACCAGCATGATGTCATTCTTCACATGAGCCCCTCACTCTTTTCTGTTCTTCCTCTTCACGGGAGGTGCTCATTTGGGTACATCACTGTGACACCTCTGTATGTTTCTGACAGGGGGGGAGGGGGAAGGAAGTAGGCAAGATTGTCATCATCCTATAGAAGAAATCAAAACCCTTAAGATATTTAAGTAAAAGGAATTGATGATAACTATCAGAGCCTACGTCATCTGCCTAGGGTGTTATTCTTTTTGCGTTTGAAATTTTTCCCTGTAAAAGTTCCACCCTTTGATCCCTTGTATCTAGCAGCATTTTTTTTTAATTTTTTAAATCATTTTATTAGGGGCTCATACAACTCTTATCACAATCCATACATACATCAATTGTAAAGCACATTTGTACATTCATTGCCCTCATCATTCTCAAAATGTTTGCTCTCCACCTAAGCCCCTGGCATCTGCTCCTCATTTTTCCCCTTCCTCCCCGCTGCCCCCCCTCATGAACCCTTGTTAATTTATAAATTATTATTTTGTCATATCTTGCACTGTCCAACGTCTCCCTTCATTCACTTTTCTGTTGTCCGTCCCCCAGGGAGGTTATATGTAAATCCTTGTAATCGGTTCCCCCTTTCCAACCCACCCTCCCTCTATCCTCCCAGTATCACCATTCACACCACTGGTCCTGAAGGGATCATCCATCCTGGATTCCCTGTGTTTCCAGTTCCTATCTGTACCAGTGCACATTCTCTGGTCTAGCCATATTTGTAAGGTAGAATTGGGATCATGATAGTGCGGGGGGTGGAGGGGAGGAAGCATTTAGGA